GCCTGTTGCTGCGGGACGCTGGCGCCCACAGCCGGCTGATGCCTTCCACCTGCGAGTGGGGGCTCTCCGGGGACCTAAAAGAGGGGCGGGGTCCTTTTAAGGGATGGGCATCTCCCCCCCCGCCCACGCCTTTTCTTTTGCCAATTAGTCTACGAATATTTGGCCGTTATTCCCAGCCTCCCTTTCTTGGATCTTTCAAGTCAAGGGTGTGGATTCGAAGGAGGGGCTTTGGGGATAGGACTTGGGTGAGCCCTGCTGTCCGTATTTCCAGGCTTTTATTCAGGACAACCAGCCGGTTAGAAATACATAAATAGGCGCAGGCTGGGCACAGAGGGGGTAGAGAAGGGAGCTCCCAGTTTGGATTTATTGGGGGTGGGGGGTGACACTGAGAAGTTGCATTTTGTTTAAATTAGAGCAAGACAAAGTTGAAAGCCAGGTTTCTATAATTTTTCTGGTAATATTTCTTTTATGAAGTATTTAAGTGTCTGTTTGTCATCATTTTGAGATCAAAAGGAAAATCCATATGCTGCATAGTTTTTCGAAATTGCTATTTAAATATGTTACCCAACGTGGAGGAGGCTGCTGGGAGGCAGGCTGGTGACAGGGATAGCCCGATGGTTTGATGTGAAGCAGGGTTCCCGAGACCTGGCTCATCCTCAAGAATCACCAAGGGAACTTTTTAAAAAAATAAGGATTTCTGGGCCCACCCCCGCTGGGCAGTCAGCCGAAAGGCTGAGAATCTAGGGGTCATACTGTTTTTCCAATTACTGCTCAGCCAGGTACTGACTCGGTGACTTTGGGTGTATTATTTAATCTATCCGAGCCTCAGTTCTTTTTATCTGCTAAGTGGGGATAATATCCAACTCGTGGAGTTTTTTTTAAATCCAGTTGCTGACTTTTACGTCAGTAAAATTATTCAGCGCACGATTGGTGCTCAGTAAATGGAACCTATTTTGTCTACAAACGTGTGCTCTACACACTTGAGCTGACAGGTACTTCTATACAGACACCTCCTCCCCCCAATATTTTGGTGAAGCTAACGTGATTGTCATTCCATGTGTCAATCATGATGAAGCGAACATGATTCTTGTTCCATGTATGCACATTTTAGTTCATGCTTAGCTGCTACTTGGGGCACTTTATTTGCTCACCTCCCCACCTTTTAGGCCACAAAAAATAAATGAGAATTGGTGGGTTTTTGGAAGCTAGGCCCTGTGCTCTTGGACCTAGAACTGTCTATCAGGCCCCGTGGCAGACAGGAGGCATTTACCAATCTAAATTTTTCTTTCTTTCTTTCTTTTTGGTCCTTTCACCTTACCTGCTTTATAGATGGAAACCTTTCTTATAGAAGCTGCACATCAGACCCATGAACCCACAGGACAAAACATTCTATTCAAGGAGGGAACAGCAAGAAGGAAAAGGTCAACATTCCTAGGTAAAACTAAAAAAAAAAAATTATATCATTTATCATTATGTTTTTACATGTCAGAATAAACAACTGCCCCAAATCTACATGTAGTAAAATGCAACCCTTCATGAAAGTATGTTCAAACCAATGACTATAGGCACACCCCAAGGTAATTAAGAGCCCCGCCAAAGACAGCTGCGAGAAGGAACAAGCTAGGTGGGAAGGTGCCATCCCTGGCTGTGACTGTGCAGTAGTGTGAGGGAAAAAAGCCAGAGGAATGGCTTGGGCTGAACCAGCAGGGACCAGATCAAGAAGGCTGACAGTTTTAGAACGGGAGATGGCCATGAGAGGCTAATTACACATTCCAAGGAAGGTGTTTTGCTGGTATCCTCAGAAGGCTTCAGATAAGTAATCAGGGTGTATTGCTGGGAAGGGGTGAGGAAGAGAATGCCAGCTCGGGGTGTCCACGGGCCCAGCCCCTAGTGAATGAACCCGGGGGCTGGGAGCCGGCCAAAGCCCAACCATCCAGCCAGATGCCTGTCCTCTGAGGGCTGGTGGATATCTTTAGGCAGGTGTGGAAGATTCCTGCTCTCTGGCTACTCTCTGGAGGGCGGGCTTGGAATTGGCAGGGGAGGGAGGGGGGATGTCTGTGACTTTAGGGGACAAAACAAAGAACCTCTAACTACACTGAAACACTCACCAGGAGTCAAGCTGTAGGGGGACAGGTAACAACTTCTGGTTTCTTATCCCAAGCACCCTCCTGGTTAAAGGAGTGCTTTTGCCTGCACTTGTGGGAAGGGGATGGAAAGGGATAGAGCAGAAGCTGAGAGGGGAAGCGTGCTGTATGGGGGACTGAGTATGGAAGGGCAGGGCAGGTAGGGGGAGATAGTGGGTGTGGGGTGGGGAGAACAGGTGGGAAGGGAGTGTGTGGGTGGAGAGACATTGCTGAGTAGGGGTGAAGCCAGAGTATAGATGAAGGGGTGGGGTGGGTGTCAGCAGAAGGTGAATGGGGTGGTGGGGGTAGCCTATAGTTATGGGTGGCCAGGAAGCAGAGATAGGGGAAGAGCGAGGAGGTGGGAGTTCTATTGGGAAGAGCCTGTACCTGCGGTGGGTAGGGGGGTACCTAGTCGGGGGGACTGGGGAGAGGTGTCCAAGACCCAAAGGAGCTCCAGTGCCCCAGGGCGGGCTAGGTGCAGGAGAAGGCAGGAGGAAAGGCCCACAGGGGGGAGGCTAAATTCGGTGCTTGCTTAGACCCAGGGAGAAGGGCTAGGTCTTGCCGCCCTCCTGCCCTTACTTCGGCTGAGAGACTTTGGCACACTTGCTAATCCCAGGTTGGCAGGAAGGCCTGGGTCCCCACCTCCAAGCAGCAGCCACAGCAGGTGCCTCAAAGACTGGACATCTGGGACTCTTCTGGGAGGTGGGCGTGGGGGCGGAGACCCGCGCCTTACCCAACAGCGCCTCCACTGGCCCTGAACAGGCATAGGCTTCCTCCGTGTCCCCTCCAGACCCATCCTAGGCCAGTGTGGTTCCCTCTCTCCGGGAGGTCCCCTGGGCACCGTTTTCCTCCCAGATGAGGTGAGTTCACCCCTTCATCTCCATCAAGCGAATCCTCAGGTGGTGTGGGGAAGCGGGGCAGGAGGCTGGGGAGCGGGGTCCAAGACCCAGAGTGGTCTCAAGGAAGATGGAATAATTCAGTTCAACAGATAATTACTGTTTGCAGGACACTGCTAAGCATGGCAGTTGGTGACCCTGTTGAGAGAGCAGATTTTGGTTCTTTGCCAACCCCGGTGGACAGTGATTTTCTGTGTTTGATTAGTCAGGTTTCTGAAGCCTCAATTAGGGGCCCTCTCTAGAAGAATCTGGACAGAGGGGCAGAAGTGTCAACACCTCCTCGCCGCTCAATCCTCCAAAGTGGTCTTTCAGTGAGAATGGGGAAGGAGGCAAACAGACAGGGATAAGTGTGGGGACTAAAAACAATAATGCTTTCCCACCCACCTTCTGTGTTCTCCTAGCTGGGCTGATAATCACATTAACAGAAGAAAATGAAATTTTTAATACATGTGCCTGGGGAACTCACATAAGCGTGGAAAATTTAAAGACTGAGGCAGCATGGGGTATATATGATATTTTTGACAAAGGAGAAAGTTTTTCCTACGTGGGAATGGGTGATTTACAGGTAGTTCACGTGGCAGGCAAAGTCTTGGTAGGCAACTCAGAGACCCTGGAATCCTGGAGGTATCTAGCTGATGGGCCCCTGCCTGAAGCTCGCTTAGTTGCCAAACTGAATTCAAATTAGGCGACGGGGACATCCTTACCTTTCCTTCCCGAAGCAGGGTTTTCTGTCTGAATGTCTTGAGCAGGAAAGCGGGGAGGTCCACAGGTTCTTTCGGAGTCTTCTGTTTCTTCTCATCCAGTTTACAATTAATATCCTGAAAGGCAGCTTCAAGGGGGCAAAACGTTGGTCCCCTTCACAAGCAGGGATAGAGAATTCTGGCATTTGTTGAGCATTTTCTATGTCAGAACCGTGCCCGGTGTTTTGTACCTGGCATTTGCGTGTCCTTAATCCCATCATGCTGTAGGTGAGAAGACACACCATCAACTTAAAGATGGCCTCTGGGAGAGAAGGGAAACACAATGACCCTCCACGCGCAATGCATTGTAAGACATACCGATTTCCAGAACATACTAAAATGTGAGAAAAAAGTGAACCTTAAAAGTTTGCAGTCGTTGTCTGACTATCTAAACGGACTGCAAGGAGCAGGAGCCACTGGAGTGTTCTGAACATACAACAATCGTACTCATTGCCTACCAAGCACCAGGCATCATGATAGTTACCATTTTTAGAAATAAGGTACAAGTGTAATACTCCCAACCGCCCTGCTAAGAATGATCCCCACCGTGTGGATGAGTAAATGGAGAGTGGGAGAGGTTTCACCACTTGCTCAAGGCCACAAAGATAGTAAGTACAGTTGGAATTGGAACCCAGGTTTGCCTGGGGTCAGAGCCAGCACAGTTCCTGCTGGGGCACCTCACCTCTGCAGGCATTGGGCTTTGTCAGCTTTTTCCCAGCCCTGGTTCTGTCCTGACCTTTTTACTATCAACACCCTCCTCCCAGCAATGAGATTTCCCAGAGGAGAATGCAATTCATTTTTTTCAGACTCAAATAAAGTCTTTAAAGGGTAAAAACCACGCACTTCAGGTTTTGCTGTGCACTGCAGGAAGCCCATGAATTCAAGGATCCCTGTATTGCTGAAAATAGAATTGTAAAAAAAATAAAAGGGGTGGGGGGAGAAAGCGAAGGAAACTAATCCTATTAAACGTGGTAGCGTGTTTTTGTGGCACGCAGGGAGAGATTATGCACAGGAAAGGGGATAAGTACTGCTTCAGTTTCACTAAACTAATGTGACAACTTGTCATTGGAAATCTTTGCAGCTTGTTAGTAGATAGATGACTAGCTGATTCAGAAGTGTTTTCTATCATTCCCTTTGTGTCTCCCATGAGGTATTTTTTTTTAAATTTCTTTCTTTTCCTGTTTCTTTCTTACCCACGCTGCTCTGTTTTGCTTTTTAATCTTTCATGTCTCCTTCAAGTCAAAACATTTAGCTGGCTCTAATCAAGATTTGGTTTTGAAGATGCCCTTCGACCTTGCGTTGCCCAGAGAAGCCAGGGAGGGAGGACAGCTTTCCATCCTAAATCGGAGTCCGGGGTCTGCCGGGTGGCTTGAAAAACCAAACTCCCGGAGGAAAATTCTCATTTCAGATTTCATTTTTCTGCAGTCCCTCTCCTTTTCCTTTCCCTCTTTTCTTTCTCTCTTTATTTATCCTCTTATTCTCTTTTTGCCTTTCGTTTGCACGCCTATGTCTTTTCTTACTTGCCTTTCTCCTGTTTTCCTCATTTCCTTCTTCTCTCTTGCTTTCTTCCCACTTTCTCTTTCATCGAATTTCTTTTCCCTCTTTAATTCACTCCAGTAACTCTGATTATTTCTTTCCTTCATGGAGAAAAGTTATGAATCTCTCAAGGTGGTAGTTTTCCCATGTCGCTCCTGGTGAAGGGGGCAGTGTTTCAGGGAGGGGGCCCAGGGCCAACCATCATAGACATGCAGGGAACAATAAGCTGATCTAAATTAAGAGGAAGCAAGAGTTTTAGGCTTGGTCTCTGTCTTTCCAAAGCAGGTGTCCAGCTTGTTTGGAAATGACTGTCTCTCTCTTTAGCTTTGGCATCACTCTCTCCCACTGTCGTCCTCCCTCCCCCGCTCCAACTTTCCCCACTGGCTTACCACCAGAGGCGAGATGTTGAGTCAATGGAAAAACAACATTCGCCAACATTAAAGGGAGACTGTTTAGAAAAGGAAGGCCCTGCTGAGGTGCAGAGGAAGCCTGTACATTAACACGGGCCACCTCTTATCTGGGGCAGCTGGGCCTGAGCTGCCTGTGTGGATTCCCTGGCTTTGCCAAGAGGCCTTCACACAGAGAGGCCGCCTTGCGAGGTGGGGGGCTGACTCTTCCCCTTGGGCTTCACCAGCACTTTCAGGGACACAAAGTCATTGCTTTACCCCCCCCCCCTTTACCCCCCCACCCCCAGCAGTTTCACCGGAAAACCTCCTGGACCAATAAGCCAAGTTCTGTAAAGGACAGCACTCGTCCAGGCCTGCTCTGGACACTCCTCACCATGAACCTGGCCCCTCTCTTTGACAGTCCTTTTGAGGACTCCCATTCTGAGCTGAACGCGAATTATGGGGAAGGACATGCTAAAGTGACCCAAAGGAGAAGAAGAAAAAAAAAGCACGTGGGTAGGTTCACCCTGGCTCTAAATTGCTTACCGTTAAGTCTCGAGCCAGCTCCTGATGGAAAGATAAGGTAAATCCCTAATCAGTCAATAATTAACCGAAGCTCCATTAATGGCCCAGTCAACCAAATCCTGCTGACACCTTCAAGAACCCTGTTTGAGGGGGCGGGTTAGGTGGAACCTTTTGATAGAAACAGATATCTCTTTAGCCTGCTATAGATCCTACTCATGGGTCACCATAA